TGCAACCGATGGCTCACAACACGTGGCATCAGTTGTCGCCCAACCGATGCGACCATCAATTGAATGGGTCTTTGCGTTAAGAGTCTAATCGATGCCATCGTTTCGATCAATTCACAGCGTTTTGCTCACAATTATGTAAACACTGTTTAATAAACAGTGTTTATTATAATAACACTATTTTCACAATCGTTTCAATCAATTACGGCTTTGAGTGGAATTTTCAGACAATTTAAAGTTTAAACACAGATTGTGTTGAAAATTATGACAACATTTGATGTAATTTACAAATTATACTCAAATAAATGGATTTAAGTTAGAGTTAAATGTTTAAAAGTGCTTATAATCTGCAAATATATTGAATTCAATTAATTAATGTTAACGTAATTTACATATAAATGTATAGCATTTTAGTTTTACATTATTGTTGCTGTAAATTGAGTTGAGACCAAAGGGACGGCACTTAAATTAAGAGAGGGTGAAATACAAGGATTTGTATTATATTACATGTGATTGCCATCCAATGGGTGTCTCTATTTGTCTCAAATCATTCAACACATCAATAGATGTGTGAAAACTATTCACAGACAACAGTACATAAAGGGGTCTAAAGTTGTGATTAATATATTGTATTTGAAATTAATGTGAAGCCATATAATGGGGACCTTATTATGAATGTTATGGTATTTGCGAATCAAAAGGTCATTCAGTGTTTGCAAAGCATTTTCAATAATATTGTAATTTTGATCACAATTTAGCGAAAATGTTGTTAAATATCATTAAATTAAACCTAAATTTGGGTCAAATATCGCGAAACAGTTACCGATTGATGGCTTCAACGCAAACCCAACCGTCAGATCCGATTCAGAAGCTATTTGTGGACAAAATCCGTGAATACAGCCAGAAGTCGAAGACAACGGCCGACGGATTGGTCGACGCAAACGAGAAGGTCTTGAAAGGACTGAAGGAAGAGATGGAAAGAGTGGCGCGAAGTCATCAAATCAAAGATGAGACCAATTTGGCGAAACTCGACTTCAAGTTTGACGCAGACGTCAAATTAGATCCAATCAATTTGGTTAAGGATTAGATGCCATGAGATTACATGCAATGAAGACTGTAATCGATTAGACCTTTCTTTCATCTATTGTTTTATTAATTAAGTCAATGTTTGACTCAATCGAGAGTCCGTTTGGGTTTACAAATTGTCTTTAGTTTATAATAAATTAGTGCTTAAATAAACTGTTTATTCATTTATTTAATTCAATATTATAACAATGTTTTTGTCATCTATTTATACGTTTAATCGCATTAATGTGTATATAATTACAATTGTTGTTTAAATTTATGTAAATTCTGTTAATTGTGATTAATTGGTGGGTGAGCGCAGCTATTTCGGAAGTTATGTAACATTCATTCAATTGTAACATTCATTACAAATATAACGATTCTCTCTCTCTCTCTCTCAGTTGTAATAATATTAACAAATAGTATTGAATGTGAGTGTAATTAAATGATAATTTAGTAACTGATATATAACTTAATTCCTTATGAGTTGTATTGAGTGGTTGTGTAGTGTGTGTCGAGAGGGCGTTGCTGTGGAGAGCAGTGATAGGCTGATGGTCTCCCTCGCAGTGAGAGTGTGTTCACAATAACTGTTGTGTAAAACGGCTCAACAGCTGATCGATTGTCAACTTCGCCCGCGTTTTGGGCTAATTGTGTTGAATTAGCCCTCATTTGCATTCATATGTATATAACATACCATTAATTTCACGACAATTATGTTAAACATTGAAACCCATTCGCAATCATCTCATCTATAGTTTGAAACCAGTGTTGAATGCATTGCAATGTTTGCAAAACAATAAACACATTTCGAGACACACTTTCCCTCATTAATTGCACACATTTTTGGTGAGTGTTTTGGCATTTAGTTAATTAATTATAATTATTTATATAATCTATAAGTGTATTATCGATTCAGACGTGAAATGAGTTGTGTTTTAATCACAATTATATAGATATGAAAAAAGGCATAGTTTTAGGATAGGATGCGTTGAATGCGTGCATTAACTGCACATTTAATTGATTAATGAATTGTTTGAAAGCAATAATATGTCGATTATTTATGAGATAAAGTCATAATTAATGTGTGGTATTGTCTTAATGTAAGTGTGGATCACATGTAGTGATGATTAGGTGTTAGTGATGTGTATGTAATGTATGGGTATATATGGGTCTGAGAGAGCCCTCAGAGCGGGAATGTATTGGCGCTCTAATGGCATACCAGTGCTAACACAGCACTGCCTATGGCTTACTCTCTCTGCCTTTCTCTCACTTTAGGGCTCACTATTGAAGCGATCGGTCGCTTCTCCACATCCCTTCACCCAACAAACCGCTCAACACTTTGTCTTTTAATTTTCACTTTTAATTTATTTTACTTTTATTTAAACTTTTAATTATTTTATAACACCATTTGTAAGCCTTTTAATTGAGCATAATTTGCGTTAATTGTCGTTACGATTAATGTGTTTTCAAACGCTTGAAAGTGTAGTCAATGTTCAGCCTTTCTAAGCATTTTCTTTGTGTATTTTCACACCAAATAGTGTTATACAGTCTATGAGATAGTCTTCAACAATGAACACATCCCTGTCGTCAATGGCCTCCCTGTCCATCGACTCACTCACACCGAACCCTCACTGGCGTCACAGCACTCGGCGGTCACCGCTTCCGACCCTGAGTTGGGCCGACGGCGGAGAGGTTTGGGATCTGATGGTCCGTAAGGATGAGGTGTATCAGCGCAACGCTCTGATGCTTCACAGACACCCAACTCTTCAGTCCAGAATGAGATCCATTCTCATGGATTGGTTGAGCGAAGTGTGCGAAGTATATCGTCTCAATCGCGACACATACTATCTGTGCATCGATTTCATCGACCGCTACCTTTCCTATCAGTCAGATGTGCCCAAACAACAGCTCCAACTGTTGGGCATTACATGTCTGTTCATAGCGGCGAAGATCGAGGAGATCTATCCGCCGAAGATGAGTGAATTCGCGTACGTGACGGACGGCGCGTGCGAGGAATCGGAAATCACGTGCAAAGAACTGGTCATTCTTAAGGCCCTGAAGTGGGAGTTGTGTCCAATGACGGCCAACAATTGGCTCACAGTATATCTCCAACTCTATGCCTCTCACGACAAGGAGAACACACTTCTCCGACGGGACGGCAACGCCTTTCTTATACCCAAATACGAGTCAACACTTTTCGCACGAATTGCACATCTGGTCGACCTCTGCATTCTCGACATCGGGTCTCTCACCTACTCTTATTCGGTGATCGCCGCCTCAGCTCTCTATCACTTCACTCACGAGGATATTGTGGTCCAATGCACCGGTAGGCACACCATCCACGCTATCCCTTACTTTCCAGTACTCACCGACTCTTCTCTTTTACAGGCATTCAAATGTCAGAACTCCGGGAATGCATTGTTTGGATGATTCCGTTCGCTCTCGCAATCAAAGACGAGGGCTTTGATAGTCCGCGGTTTGAGCACAAACTCAATGAAGACTCACAGCCCTATCACAACATTCAGTACCATAACGTCGATCTCCAACTTTTGGTAATTATTGTCTTATTTATTGTTTAAATTAATTAAATTCTAGAACTTTTTATATATTGACTGTTTCTAACATTGTATTGAAATGTTTGCGTGTTTTCAGGAAAAAGCATATTTAAAGCAAACAGAGTCTCAAAGCGATGATAGCGAAGAGTCAGTTTCGCCAATTAGTAGTCCAGTGGCCAAAAGGCCCCGAAGGCCGGCCATTTTGACGCCACCAAAGAGCAGTTCAAAGCAATCGAAACGCCGCAGAAAAAGCACAAGGAGTTCAAAGTAATTGCAATGATTTGTACGAAACGATTGAAAACTGTAATCAAATTCTAAGTTATCATTAATTTGTCGCCAAACGTTGGCCTAATATTTATACTGAAAAATCGCTGTTAAAGCCGTTATTCTCTAGTCTTTTATCAAATGTTATACTTGTCTATCAATTTGGTGTCGGTTTTTGTCTCTCAAGACAATACTATATATCCGCCACAATGTCTATCAGTTTATTGACTATCGATTTCAACATCAGTTTTATGAGCTTTTTATCGTTTATTTTAAACCTAATTTTGACCGAAACTGCCATTTAATGCTTCAAACATATCAAATACAACTCAGACTATAGGTTATGGTTTTACAAGAATTTTAATTCAATTTTGGGTCCAATTTATACAATATTTATATTTTTCAATTAATTTTCATTACAAGAATAAACTGTTCACTAAAGACATGATATTGTCTTTAGTATAAAGAGATCTATTGTTTCTCATTTCTTCATACGATTCGCTTTAAAGCGGGAAATCATTTTTGGCGGACTTTCGCTCTCATCTTCAACACTGCCTTTTCCTTCTTGAGTCCCCTTTTGTTCAATCACTCGCTCTTTGATTTGATTGCGGAACGCGATCTCATCGCTCACGTCCTCAGTGTTGGTGTGATCATCGCTTTCGGGCCATTGTTTGCCATCATTACAATCGCTACCTGTTATCACAGTTTCAATGGTATCGTTGAAACCAACGCTTTTCCTCCTCTCTTCTTGATGTTTGGCTTCTTTCTTGAGGATAGACTTGAGTTCGCCTTTTTGTTCATCACTTTCTTCGATCTCCAGCTTCTCTAACCGTCGGTTAACCTCTGAATCATCTGATCCCTTGTCGGCCGACTTCTGTGACAACTTATACTCGCGAACCCGTCTTCTGTGCTCTTCTCGCCATTCCTTTTCCTTCTGCTCATCAAATGGTTCCACAATTTCAACGAACTCTGGGTTTTGTTTTTCGCCATAAATTTGTTCCGAAAACGATAACCACTGCTGAAGATGTGTCCTCTCTTTGCGAAACTCTTCGAGCATTTTATGGCAGTTATCGAGCCTTCTTTGGACGATATCATTGGCCTCTTTGGCAGACCTCTCGACGAAGTAATTGTCGCCCAAAAGGACTAATATTTCGTTTGTATGTCTGATATGTCCGGACATAAAACACAGATCCGATCCGCCGATCGGAACCATTATCTCGTGGGATGTCTTGTCGGCGATTGTGGACAGTCTTTGTTGTAGCGATTGGTAGTCTTCGATGAATTTGTTCCAATCGGCGATCTTTTGGTCACAAATGGCCAAATCGTGAGCCGTTTTGTCACATAATCTGTTCATTTGATTCAAATCCATATATCGGTGACAAAGTGTTTGCCTTTTGTCTCAATCAGACTCTCATTCAACTCTCGCTTTCACTCAAAGCCACTCAAAAACCAAAACAAACTCACGTGTCGTACAATTGGCACTCTTTTATTGTTGACATTCTATTACTGCAATACCTATGCATTTGTCTACAAAATACTTGTCATGTGTTTGTTTAATGAATGAATACATGATTTTGTTGTAAAACTGAATGCAATTTATTTTTAACAACAAATCATTAATTGTTTGATTGAATCCAAAGTGAATCCAAAATGTCATTCATTTCAATGATTTTGAGCACAAACTCACAACTCGTGCGAAATGTTTGGCAGATCTCAACAAAACAGACCACTTGTGTGAACGCAGATCTATTGCGGCCATCGATGGTATGGTTGGATCAGAAACGATGCGGACATCTGACCGTAAACACGAGGAAGAGACGTAAAACACATCCATTCTTCTGGTGGGGACGCAGTCGAAGACGCGAAGACATTCCCCACAAGACCTACATTAGCAAAGATAACGAACAGTTTGTCGACACTTACATCAAAGACAAGTACGGATTGGCGGCCACTGAAAGTCCCATCAAAGGCGTGGAACTGAGTCGCGAAGAATTTACGGACGACTCCAAGAGGTGCGGACTCATCGCCCGTAAGATCGGACACTACCCCATGTGGACAAAGAGTGGCCAACGATTGCTTACAACTGTTCTTCACGTTGTGGACAATCATGTGATCAAATACCACAGTCCCGAGGAATGGGCACTAATTTGTCGTCCATTTTATACTCACCACAAATTCAATGGTTTGGGTGTCTGTGTTGTGGGCGCGGAGAGCGCCGATCCCAGAGGTTTCACTTCTCTTTACAGAGGACTGTTCAATGAGTCCGGAGTTATGCCGAAGAATAAGTTGACCCGATTTTTTGTGACACCAAACGCCAGACTAACGCCCGGAACACCTCTAGTGGCCGCGCATTTCCGAGTCGGCGATTACGTTGACGTTTGGGGCAAAACCATTGATCAGGGCTTTCAAGGCGTGGTTAAGCGCTGGAACTTTAAAGGACAGGACAAGTATAGGGGCGTTACTAAAGCCCATAAAAGGCCGGGAACTATAGGTAGGGGTAGGAAAGTGATGGGCCCGTGGAAGGGACACCCGATGGCCGGACATATGGGCCGCGAGCGACGGGTTCTAAAGGGACTCAAGATATGGAGAATTAATACAAAGCATAACGTGATTTGGGTTCACGGGCCGGCAGTTCCCGGCGAATGTCATTCTTGGGTCTATCTCTATGACTCCAGCGCTGAGGATAAGTAATGCTATTATTTGTTAGTGAATTGTGTGTAGTTTGTTTAAAATTTGACTTCAATTTAGGAGAATTACTGTTGAAAATCCTCCGCCTTTTCCCACATATTATTTGGAGGATTCGAAGGAAGCGCTTCCCGAAGAGATTTACGACAAGGAATTGCAGGCATTCGATGAGCCGACCATCATATTCGAGGAGACAGAAGCCGAACGTAAGGCAGCGTTAGCCGCAGCCAAAGCCACCAAAAAGGCTAAGATCGCCAAAATTCGCTAATCTTGTAATACCCGTAGTCTTTGAAATATATTTCACTTCATTAGGAATTTATGTAAATATTTTTCAAATAAATTGTTATATTTAAAAAATCATTCATTTGACTAAAATTAAAGTTAGATTTCAAATCCTTATATATTTATTTCAATCAAAACACCAACGATTCTGTTTAGCATTTATTTAAAGACATGATTTTCGACTAATTGTACAATTTATTGCATTTAATAACCGGTCGTTCACTGCAACCAATCAATTATTCAATACTTTCTAAACTCATTAACAGTTTTATCTAATTTTATTGCGAATCCAATGATTATTTGGTGACGCTATGCATAGCATGTGCTAAATAGTCGACATTCCCGGACGTGACGCCAGCCATAGATATGCGGCCGTCTTTCGTGAGGTAAACGCTGTGATCCTTAGTGATGCGCTCGACCTGATCCTTGTCCATACCGGTGAAGCAGAACATACCGATCTGGTCAGTGATGTGCTGCCAGTTCTTAGTCGAACCCTCGCGTTTCAGGCCATCTCTAAGTCGAGTTCGAACCGAAATGATTCGATCGGCCATTCCTTTCACATCCTTAAGCCATTGACTTCTTAACGTCGGGTCATTCATAACGAGAGCCGCAATTCGGGCCCCATTTACCGGAGGGTTGGAATACAACTGTATTTTGCAAATTAAATATTTTAAATAAATTTCTAATCGATATATTAATTAATTAAGTAATAATGTAAATACCGGTCTAATAATGATCTTGATCTGAGACATAACCCGTGATGTTTCCTCTTTAGAAGAGGACACTAAAGTGAAAGCACCCACTCTTTCGCCATACAGACCCATATTCTTGGCGAACGATTGGGCGACAGCTATTTGATGGCCGTCTTCGACAAACATACGGACAGCAGTGGCGTCTCTATCGATGTCTCCGGTGGCGAACCCCTGATAAGCCATATCGAGGAATGCAAACAAATTTCTTTGTTTCATTATTTTCGATATCTCTTTCCATTGTTCGGGCTTTGAATTAAATGTCATTCAATAATCACATTTCAACTATACTTTATAGCAATAAATATCATACTTTTGGGTCGACTCCCGTCGGGTTGTGAGCGCAGGCGTGCAGAAGAACCACTGATTTTTCGGGTATTTTAGCCAAATCTTGAAGAGCGCCGTTGAAATCAAAGCCACACGTCTTGGGGTCGTAATAGCGGTACTGTTTGACCGCAAATCCGGCCCTTTTGAACAGAGGTATGTGATTACCCCACGTGGGAGTCGGCATATACACCTCTTTGGGCCCCGAATGGAAATCCCTTAAGAAGTTCGCGCCCAACATCAGCGAACCGGTTCCAGAGATTCCCTGAACCGTTGCATTCTTCGATACAAAACCATATGTTTTATGAGACCAATCAATTGAATAACAAATGCAAATGACATACCAGTCCTTCAGAGATGACTCTACTATTGTCTCCAAAGGCCAGTTTGGCGGCGGCGGCAGTAAATTCGGCGAAACCGCTGATCGGAAGGTATTCTTTATCCAAATTCTTTGATCTCAAAATCTCGTCGGCTTTGAGAACAGATGGCAGTAAATATGGTTTGCTATTGTCGTCCCGATAGGCGCCGACACCCAAATTGATTTTCTTGGGATTCGTGTCTTTCTTATAGGCTTCGGTCACACCGAGGATGGCGTCGGGCGGACCCATCTCTACATTAGACCACCAATTGCTAAACCAATCAAATGTCAACACATTATTGTCTGCTCTGAATGTGTGGATCACTTACTGTTGATGTCTTATAGAGTTGACAATTGGTGCTAAACTGACCAATGATTTCTTGACGTTAGCGTTGGTTATTAACTTAAGATTTGCCATCTCTTCTCAGCTTTTGGATCAATTAAATGAAACAATTAATGAATTCTAGACACAAATGAGTGTCAAAATGTGTGATAATTGAGTGGAAAGTTTTTCTGAAGTGACGATTAGCTGAATTGCAGGCAAATAGTGGTAAACAATGAGTGAAGTGATGATAATATCAGTGTTTATCAGATCTCAAGTTTGAAGTCAAGGACAGTCTCTATAGAGTTGTCTCAATGTATTGAATGCACATTCAATGGGAGAGTGAATGCTATGAATGCCTACAATGTGTTCACTTTTGTACTGCACTTCAAATCCACAGCATTTAAAATTTAAATACCATTCGCTTTGAAGTACTTTTACACGAATTTTGCTATTTTTGCATCACTTTTACACACAATTGATACTAAATGTATATATTATTGGATAAAAAACTAGATTTAAAACATACTGTATTTCACAATTGATGCAATTTATGTGCAATTTAAAGGAATATTTCATATTTGGTGAATAAAATTATTAATTCAACAATTATCTCATTTTGGGTATAATTCTGGTCCATACAGTATAATTACGTGTATAGAAAAGAAATTATGCACAAAACTACTGTTAATAGTTGTTACATTTTATTACATTGGTACTACCAATTTGGTAGTACTAAAAAGTGAACTTGATTTTTAAAACTGTAATTTTTAATTATAAAAAATAATTAAATTCGTATATTTTAAAATAAGTTTATAAGTTTGTCATATTTTTATTAATTTATTTTTAATTAAAATGTAATTAATTGTTACATGAATGGATGGTAACAAAAATGAAGTTACATAACAGTAATATGGATATCAAATAATTGATTGACATTTTTCATTATTTTCTAAAAACATTCATTCATTCATTTACTCCTCTTTTTCTTTCTTTTCTTATCCTTCTTGTGATGACTTTTATGTTTCCTTTTATGAGATCTTTTCCTCTTCTTATCTCTCGTTGAACTGCTATCTGATGAGGAAGAAGAAGAAGAATCGCTGGAAGAACTACTTGAAGAGCTTTGTTGGAGCAGAGCCTTCAACTGATCCACTTTTGACTGCTGTTTGTCTTTCATTTCATTTTGTTTAATGTATTCATACATCGGGTCTTCGTGTATATACCGAAACTCTTCCGACTCTTGATTACCACTCAAAAACATCGGACACTCCTTATCGCCAGTCCTGTGGCCGTATGTCTTACAGCGCCAGCACTTCATAACCTTAACCTCTTTGCCTAAAGGCATCCAAAGACCCTTTTTTGGCGCATTGGCTAAGAATTGACGNAGTACGCGGAGGAAGCGCTCGGAGATGTGGTGTACGTCCAGTTGCCTGATGTGGACCAACAGTTTGAACAAAACGGTATTCATAATCATTGTATTAAAAGTGTTGGTTATGTTTGAATGGTTTGTTTGGAGGGAACAGATGAAGTCGGGGCCGTCGAGAGCGTGAAGGCCGCCTCTGAGATATTCACTCCCGTTTCCGGACGTATCGCACAAATCAATGACAAACTCGAAGACAAACCCGGTTTGAAATTGAGATAAAAGTTGACCATAAGTTTGGATTTTAAAACGATATTTAATTTGTAATAAAGGTTTAGTGAACTCTTCGTGCTATGACGAGGGCTGGCTTTTTAAGATTAAATTGTCTAAAATGGAGGAATGGGATCAATTGATGGACGAAGACTCGTACCAAAAGTTTTTAATATCGATTAAGGAAGAATAATAATGTTTTAAACAATAGTACATTTATTGACTAAAAAATCATAATTTTTTATTAATCAACTTATTTTAGTATGTTAAAACTGTAAATTGACTTAGAGTTAGTTATTAACGGCATTTATACTTTATTAAATTCATTTCACATATATTTTGGTTATTAAATTCGCGACGACTCATTCGGATTGATTAGTGATATCAACATATAATCCTTATCTGAAATAAATGAAACAAAAATCATTTTAGATATAATGCAATCGTTTCTCACAAATCAGTAAAAAGTTGTTTAAAATAAATGATAGCTTTGATTATACTTTGTAATAAACTGTATTAACTCAATACTATTAAGCATAAAACAAGTGCTTTTTAGGTCCATTTGTAAGTTTCCTATTAGTTATCAATCTATTAAATAAATCTAATTTCTGTCATTTGTATAAAAAATGGGATTAAATATTAGATTAATTAATATTAAAACTAAAAATGATGTAAAAATTAATGTTATAAAGTGTGAGATTGAATGAAATAAAGGATTAATTGGAGGATTGAGTTCAAGTGTTGAATACCGGGAACGACAATGAATTCGTGTCTAAACCAGAATTAGAACTCCTTTCACTCGAGTAGCAACAGAGACTCCCGGACAAACCGGAAGAGATGGTAGACTGACTACCAGTCAGGTATGCTGACGACGTGTAGACACGAGAGTAAGTCGCAACAGTTAATCACCACTCCATCCGAGTCGTGTTGTTAGTGTGGTTAGTGAGGGAATACGCTGGGTACCTAGGCGAAGTTGCTGAGGAGCTAGAGTCTGATTTTGTGTTAAGTTAGTAAAATACACAGTAATTTAGTTAACAAATAATATAAACAGGAAAATGAGCGCTCATTTGTTTCGCCATTCATTTGACGACAAATCATATATAAATAGTGACAATCATTTCAAATGGTGTCCACAAAAGTGTGGTGTCATTAAAGAAATGAGATAATGCTTACCATTGATGAGCAGTGTATTTGATCCGAAATGTGGTCACAATTGGTGTCAAACAGTAAATGAAATAACAATACAATTGATTGAATGCGTGAACGCATGCGTCGATCAACTCATCACTCATTCAGTGTTTGTAAACAATAATTGGGTTTTAAATTAACAAAATTTATATAAAAAGTTGATTTCATTTGAAACTAAATTAACATTCATTTCACACATCAATTGCTCACAAATAGTGAGACATGTCTTCGTCTTCGAGTAGAGACCGGAAGCCAAAGACAAAGTCGAAAGACGTGAGACCTGATGGAGGAAGCGGTGAAGCGATGGCCAGTTTTGACACCAAACTCATGGAAGCGCTCAAACATTACGACACTTTGTATTGAATTTTGTTAACCATTAAAATACTGATCTCTTGTGTGATGTGTTGTCAGCTATGAGTCGGCGCCACCGGGTTTGGTGAAGGAGGACGAGGAGAGACCGGAAGACTGTATCCCGGATTTGCCTGAGAACTCAGCCGCGCGTCAATTCTTAGCCAATGCGCCAAAAAAGGGTCTTTGGATGCCTTTAGGCAAAGAGGTTAAGGTTATGAAGTGCTGGCGCTGTAAGACATACGGCCACAGGACTGGCGATAAGGAGTGTCCGATGT